CCCCAGCCAACTAGCTGGCTGGGGAATTCTGGAAGTTGAAGTCCACACGTCTTCAAGTTGCCGAGGTTGAGAAACACTGCTGTAGTCTCTTCAGACAAAGCATTTCTCAGGAGTAAGCCTATCCTAAACTATTATTGAATGTCATTACCAATGATGGCTTTTAGATGTATGAGTCAGCTTTTGAGGTTACTTTTAGTCCTATTTTGCACTTGAGAGGTTTATTTCATATGCCATCCCTTGATCTGGGGAACATCTGCCTTTGGTGAAGTAATGTTCTTTAAAAACATACACACCCTCCAAATAAAAAATCATTATTAATATAAACACACAGAAAATCTAAAACTTCGGTCAATTACTTAAGAGGAATCCCCATTGAGATTTACATTTCAAGTAGGGTCAACCTCGTACGTACAAGATGCATTTTGAGATAGCTTTGAAGAAATGGAAAATAAACCCTGGACCTCTGTCAATGATGTGGTTTCAAAGTAATTGAAATATGGAGACTGTTGTTCGTTGCAACTCACAACGTGTGACTCAGATCAGCTCTCGTATGGATATTTTATTCTGAGGCAGCTAAATCTATTTAAACAACAGCTCACGATGGTGACGTATGTATGTCTTGAGTAGCCATAACTGATGTAGGCCCATTTAAAGACAAAGGCGTAGACAAGGCTCAATGTGAAAGAAAAGCCTTATTTTATAGTACTTGGAATTTATCATATTTTCTGACTTGCCAGAATAAACGTGTTGAGATTCACATCTCTGACTTCCTTGATCTATAGAATTGCTGAAAGTTGGAAAATCAAGTGAAGTAATAAATGTGAAAGGGCAATGTTGATTTTGAAATGGGTGAGACTTAGTGAAGTGTACTTGGCTGTTCTCAACATAATCTCAACCATTTCCCAGTATCACAGTAGGGGAATTTTACGGTTAAAATGTTTTAAATAAGAGCTGGTTTTGCAGTTATAAAATGCCAGTGTGTTTTCTTGTAAAGCTCTGCTTTGTGGCTGGGGCGTTGTTTCCCCCCTTTCTTCCACTGGGTGAAGGGCATTTTGGAATTGATGTGGACAATCTTTAATAAATCTGTGATAATATACAAGAACACGCCTGACTCTCTTGGTTAAATAAATTTTAAAAAAAATACATTTCGAAGCTTGATGGTTTAGACCTCCTGTTTCTTTAGGCTGCTGCTGTATAAATAAAACTGGACGTTAAGTGTTCATCTTATACACACAACATACATGGGCCTTATAACTTTCTAAAATAAATAAGTATATAAACTAGTAGAGTTGCCTTTTTTTAAAAAAAGAAACACCTGGGAAGCCTCCTTTGACTTTTGAAACAATTGCATAATGTGCAAGTAATTTCACACTCTCTCACTCACCCTAAATCCTTACCTGCTGTTAACCATTTTAACTAGAGCTATACAACCTGGTACGTATAAATCTGGTTGGTTTTCTTCTGCCATCTAGCAGTCATCTGAAGGTCTACGGTCCACATTTGGTAACCCAGCTATGCAAGTCACTTAAAGAGCTAAGCATTAATGCTTTGGGCAAGAACATGGAACAAGCTGCACAATTCTTGGTAGTGTGTCCTATGAATTAACAGCAATTATATAAACCAGATAACTTTACTTTCAAGACAGCCCCTTTTCTCAGCATGCATTTATTCACACACACACACATTAACTGATGGGAAGGGAAATCAAGTCATTCAGTAATTTCAAGATTATGAAGAGGACTGGGAAAAACCAACACATTTTACAGATCCCAAAGCATATTTCTATACCGTGTTTATTATGCTTGAGTTAAAGTGACAAACTCAAGGTGTAAATGTATTGTTGAAGGCTTTCACAGCTGGCATACGATGGCTGGTGTGGGTCTTCCGGGCTGTGTGGCCGTGTTCTGGAAGGTCTGTTTCCTAACGTTTCGCCAGCATCTGTGACCGGCATCTTCAGAGGACAGGAGCATGGACAGGAGCGGCTCTCTCTGCGCCCCTGCTCCTGTCTGTGCTCCTGTACTCTGAAGATGCCGGTCACAGGTGCTGGCGAAACGTTAGGAAACAAAACTTCAAGACCACGGCCACACAGCCCGGAAGACCCACACCAGCCATCAAGGTGTAAAGTCAATTTAAATCTGATGTGCTTTTAAGTTTTGTGACAAAATCAATAGATTTCCCAATTTTGCACATAATCTGCCAGATAGGCCTCATGATTGGAACAGAACAGAACACATCTTTATTCGGCCAATGACCAGCAAACTCATGTCTGGAATACGTGACTTTCAGCATCTCACCCTCCCCTTCTGCACCAGCATGAAAAAGCCACACAAGGAGATGAATTTAATGCCACTGTCATATATGATCAAACCTGTTAGGATGTAACTGGGATATGCGACTTACCAGAGAAGTCCTAAAAGAGGGATGTTGAATAATGGTCTTCATTATTGTTGGAATATAGCAACATAATTTTAAAATACATTCCAAATGCTTGGAATTTTTCTACTAGGCCATTGTTGTAGTGGTGCTTTTTAGCTATGATTTTAAAATAAATGCCACTGTCACCACTCATAATTACTGCAGATTTAATAAATAATTGTTTCATGCAACTGAAATTAAATGAACTTTTTTTTTTTTCCATTTAGAAGAAATCTGAAGACAGGTTTTTCTTGTGCCTTTGTGTGTGATAATCATCATAGTAAGGCAGAAATTTAAACACATAAATTAGGAACGTGCATCATTTGACCGGCATGAGAAAGGAATATCAAGGTTCTTGAGTTTGGAGTGCAAGAGATGCATTTTATTGTATGCTCATTACAATGAGTAACACATTTTGAAATAATAATCCCACATAACGGTGACAATCTTATTTTACAGCGTGTACATCATTTTTACAGCCACATAAAACACAAGTAGTTTCCTAAGGTTTCCCAAAGTTAACTTTCTGAAGGTCGGAAATATATAAAAAAAATTTATTCTCGAGGAACTGATTCTCATCTGGTGCAAAAACAAAGTATGAACATTATCGGAAACACAAAGCCACAATATAGTAGCATGAATGAATTAAAGTTACAATTTATCATGTGAACAGCTGTGTGCAAACATGAAGCAACTTAAAACGTAAGTTTTTAAAAAAGGACACATTATATGTATAACATTTATGAACAGATTTTTTTTTTTTTAAATTATTAAATAGCCCTAGACCAGCTTGTTATATTAAGCGCCATTTTGATTTGCAGCATGCTAACACAAAGCTTTGTTTAAAGGGATGCATATTTCAAATGTATACACTGTAAACTGAAGACCCATGTCTGACCTCTAGTGGCGGCTCACTGTTCTGGTTAAATACTGCATACATAACTTCCATACAGATCGAGAATGCAAGTTTATAGCATGGTATACGTTTCGTATGAATCCTTTAAAAGGTGCCATTTTCGTTTCTATACGGGTTTTTTTTAAAAAAAAAAATTTAACGGCGAGTCAGGGCCACGGACCCCGACTTGCCAGAAACACTGCTTATGAAAGGTTCTCTAGGAATTTCCAACGGCTGACTTCTTTCTATCGTGAGACACTCTCTGAAGGACGGTTGTGAAGGTACGAGAAAAAGAAGAGTGCCCAATCACTGCATCCATCATTTTTTTTAAAAAATATTGGTCAAAAGTTACTTTTAATCATGGTATGTGCCATACTAAACATTCAGCTGTAGTTTCAGGTAAAAAGGGAAATTATGTACATACATGTCTCTGTCCCTAGCACCAAACTTTTGATCTCAGAAACTTAATGCTGTATTTTTGACATGATATCCTGCAATAAAAATAGGTTAGCAGCTCTGAAAGAAAACTTTGGAAATTGCTCATTGGATTTAAACAAATGGAGAAAACAAGGCTTGCTTATGAAATGCTATGATCGCTTTAAAATAAAAAAGGACAGATCTTAAAATTTGACCCATTCTTGAATACTATGTCCCAGCCCAATTTTTTCCTTTTAAAAAATGTAAGGACCACTTGACTGACTTCTATCTAGCTTCACTGTTCAAAACTGCATATGATATATTTGTCCTAGCAAATACTTTGAAAGAACTTCTGTCCCTGGTTTTCATTAATGTGACAAATGGCGTTATTGATAAAGGGCTACGGTAATGATCTTAGTATTTCTTTAGCTTAATAATGTGTAACGCTCTATAACAGAAGACATTCAAGGTCTCTTCCTGCAGCTTCTCAGACATTCATTCATCTCTCTGCGTTTATAGTGCTCTTTAGGTTCTGATAAGCAACAATCATCGGGCTATGAGATACCCAGTCAACCCTAATACTTTTAAGACTTTTAATACAAAGAATGCAAAGTTATGGTTTAAGATCAAGCTTTGAAACCAGGAGAAACAGTTCATGAGAGTTTTCTTCCCCAATTAGCCTATCGCACTGTCTTCCACAGCTCATATGCTACATGAGGGCCTCTTTGTGGTGCCTCATTATGTGCTGATTTTTCTCGGATGGCCTTCGGAACCCCTTTTTGCAATACTCGCACCTGTGAGGGTAGTCTTTTGTGTGTATTGATATGACGTGCCGCTTGAAGCCCGACGCGTCCGTAGTGCTGTATTCGCAATACTGGCATTGATAGACTTTCCTCCCGCTGTGGGTCTTCATGTGCTTCTTCAGTTCCATCTGTTGCCGAAATCCCCTCTTGCATCGCTTGCATTTAAAAGGCAAGTCCTTGGTATGAACGGAGAGGATGTGCCCACTGAGTACAAAAGGATCTGAAGTTTTAAAATCACAGTGCCGACACTGATGTATCTTTTTCCCTTTATGGGTTTCGCTGTGCTTTTTAAGCTCCGAGGGGCGGTGGAACCCCTTTTCGCAAACCTCACACTTGTGAGGGAAGTCTTTCGTGTGGACGGATATGATGTGCCGCTTTAGGTCGCTGGAGTTGGTGCTCTTGTGGTCGCAATGCGGGCACTGATGAGTCTTGTGCCCCTGAAAGAGTTCCGTGTGCTGCTGGAGCTCCTTCTCGTCTGTGAACGCCTGCGGACAGTGTTCGCATTTGAAGGGCAGGTCAGTCCCGTGCTTGGCTTTGATGTGCGTCTTCAGATTGGACTGGTCCGCGCAACGGAAGATGCAGTGCTGGCACTGGTAAGGCTTCTCCCCGGTGTGGGTCCTCATGTGCTTTTTCAGCTCTGAAGGGTGGCGGAACCCTTTCCCACACTCCACACAAACATGGGGAAAGTTCTTGCTGTGAACCGCGAGCAGGTGCCTGTTCAGCAGGCCTTGCTCCGCGGTCTCGTAGTCACAATACTTGCACTTATGCAGTTTAGGTTCTTTGTCCCGTAAGATCAGTTTGTTGGAGCTCAGGGGGCTTGCTTCTCTGTAGCGCCTGGTGTACTCGGTGAATTCGTGCGTTTTGTCACCCTTGTTGATGAGCTTGTGGCTCTCCAGGTGGTTGTGGAAGCTGACTTTTTTGTTAGTTGTAAAGTCACAGTCTGTGCACTGATACTTCTTCTTAATCATGTGATCTGGGTGGTTTTTCATATGCCTTTTCAAGAATCCCCTGGACTTAAATTTTTTTCCACATATGTGACAAGGGTAGACGGTTAAGGGCTGTCCGTCGGGACCTATTATAACAGCTGTTTCAAATAAGCAGAAACAATTATGAAGTAAATTAGATAAAAAACTACTTTGAAGTTAAACAGAATGCAATATTGAATTAAAAGGAAGCAAATCTTTTGACAGCTAACAATGCAAACCTACTCAAAGTAGTAAATATGCTAGTCAATTAAATGAGATTTAATCCCAGGAAAGGTATGTACTAGACTGCAAAAAGCGACAATCAAAATTCTTACAAAAATCGACAATATTCTAAGAGTAAAGTCACTTTTTAAACTATAGTTGTATATAGTTAGTTATACATGTTGCAGATGTAACCAGGAACTCACTCTGCTAAACAATTCAGCACGTCCCCAGTTCTAAACCTTTACTAAGACGATGTATAGTTTACATTTCAGAACTTTTAAAACTTAAAATTTAAAGAATCAAAAGAATCAAGATCTATTAACATTTCAAATCAGCAATTACTTTTTCCAGTTCCTGAAAAACAAATACTACCCTATCTGTCTTCCTTAATCTTTATCGAGTTGATTTTTTATAACTGAGTGATTATTTACACTCTTTTCCCACTCTACAATGGACACATTGTGTTTACTTCCAATATTTGACATAAAGAATTGTTAACTCAACTGGGGCTGTCCATGGAGGATCAAAACAAGTAGGGCAGCAGTCAGAGCATCATGGCCAAAGCCCTATATTTCTGTATGCGCTTGCAACATCAGCGAAGATTGTGATACTATGACCGCCATGTTGCCTGTTTCAACCTGACGTGCAGATGCTGCCGGACTGATTAAACATTCAAGAAAGGATAAATCTCCTGAGTTTCTAATATATTTTTCTACACATTAATAAATATAACTATTTATGATCTAAAAATTAAACATCCTCTATTCAATATGTATTGTATTTTCAATAATAAAGTGATAATTTCTAAATAACTGTGCACATCCACTATAGATATCAGAAGATGCATGTTTTGTTCTTTCATTTGCAACATAATTGGATCATAAATACTCCTAAACAAGCTGTTTAAAAAGCTCAGGTTTGTTCAGCATTCTACTTCTGCTGCTTCCTTGTACTTCCTCCTGTGTTAACTTATCAGGATGACAGCTATTACAGGCTTACCAAGTAAAAGGGTATTACACTGAAATCACTTCTGACTTAAATCCAAAGTCCACCTTGAAACAATATTTTTGTTTGGCCAATAAAATTTATAAAAATTGTCATTTTTAAGTTTTCAAGAACATCTTATCAGGCAAGATGATTAAAAGGCTAGGGAAAGAACGCGAAGGAGGAAAACATGGCTTGTAATCAAGCCACACGTTTAATGGGTTATATCTTCAAAGAGAGGGACAGGGAGTCTCAAAACATGAAAACTAGTTCTTACCCAAAAACAACTGGTGGTAGATTACAACAGGTAGTTTCAAAACTTGCTGGGAAAAAGATACAGCAAGTGATTAAGCGACTGTACAAAGCATAGTAGTCGTTTTTTTGCCAAAAAATTCCCAACGGAAATAGAAGAGTTAATAACATTACAAGCTACATTTAATTGGATAATAACTTATTAGAAGGTTGTTTTACCTGTTTGCCATTGTCGCGCTTCACCTCTCCTCCTTTTCTTGGTCTTCTGCTTGAGCAATCTGTTTGTATTAATGCTATCACAAATTTGCAGATACTGAGTGGTATTACCATTCTTGTTCTCTAATCTTGCATCCAAGTTTGTTCCTGGTATGAAAGATAACATCAACATTTTGCAGATGAGTGCCTTAGAATACCGGATTTAGAAAACTAAAGCTGAAAGCATTTATTAAGCCTTTGGCATAGGATGGGACTCTGCTTCATGATGCCAGAAACCCAGAATCACTTCAAACTTTTCTTTAATGCATCATGTAAAAAGCAATAGTTTATTACGGTTTATATTTACTTTATGTTCTGGGAGTTTTCCCAGCTAAAGAGCAGGAAAATAAATATTTTACTCATATAAAGTTTTGGTCTCATATTTATTACCTGGTATAGTGGTACCAATGGTTGCAACTCTCAATGGTGATATTCGAGTAGCATTTCTATGTATCAATATTCTTTTTTGCTTTTCAAATTTAATTAGGAGTTATTCTAATATACATATACTGCTCTGTACTATATTGTGGAGGGAGCTGTATTTTCACTAAGCATAGAATAATTCTTCATTTTCTCACCTGGTGTTTGACAGTCTTCATATTTCCTGGGAAGTCTTCTATCATCCCCTAGGGAAATAAACAGTTTTGTGATTTAATTCACAAACAGTGGGGATGTGCAAAACCTCTTGTTTTGGGAGCAGAACATTCTAAAGAACGTCATTATGTTCTGCTTCTCTTCTGGAGCATGCTCATCCAGCAGTTTTCTGAAACTAATCCTTGGGAAAAAACACACACAACAGAAGTGATTTCTGGTGTTCTGGATGTAGTCCAACTCTAAAATGGGCCTGTTACAATCCGAAGACATGAGCCCCTCCAATTCAGAAGACTGACCTCTGGAGCACTGCCAGACTGCCCTTGGAATGGTTGACTGAATCATTTGGGTCCAGAAGAGAAACAGATCATTAGGTTTTGCACATAGCTAACAAATAATTTGTGCAATGATACTGTGAAATAGTTGAAAGAGAAAACGAGTAACTGTTTTTACTAATTGCCAAAATTCTTCTTTTGTAAGAACTGTAAAGAGTGCCAAGCAAAAACAAAATATAATCAAATAAAATCTTGTGTTTAGTAACATGGCTTGCTGCCTGTTGCTTCCAAGTAGAATTTACAAACAGGCTTTGGTGTCCAAGAATCCATATTATACTATTAACATTATTTTCTCAGGCAGTCAAAACAGCAGCAATTAGCTTCCAAATATTCAGTTTATACTATCTTAAAAAATACTTGCTATGTAAGCAGAAGTCAGTGCATGAACTAAACAAACCTACCTAGCAACTTCCAGTCTCTCTTTCATAAAATGTATGTGTGTGTGGTCTGTGTGTGTGTATACACCCCCCCCCCCACCAGTTCACTGGTCCACCTA